ATGCTTCCAACAAACCGGCTACAACCAAACTTGCTTGCGAACCTTCCGCCACAACAATCCCGCTTCCCTGCGAATTTAATAGAAACTATTTTGAGAGGAGGAGCTAAACCACCAGCTGGAATTTGTAAAAAAAGAGCAACAACGGATGGTAATTTGAATTTTTGCAATAAACATGAAATGAATAAAATCTCGTCTTGTTGCTTTGAACCTAAAATGACGATGAAGGTTCATGAGACAGAAGCTGTTCAGATCAGGCTTCTCCAACATGAAGTCCTGACATATTCTTATTACTACAGTGAGGCATCATTTGAATCATTCTGCTTTTTTTTATCTTTTATGTTTGGTTTTTCTTTCTGGAACTCAAACACAGATTAGAGCTCATTTCATTAGGTTTGGTGTTTCAGATAATCGGCGTTGATCAAAGCCTCCTTCATCTGGATGCAGCAGAGGAATGCTTAAATGCTACGTTTCTAAACAACGGAAGGCTTTCATTACCAGCCCAGGAAGCGGGGCAGCGGCGGGCCTGTGTGCTATACTTATCCCCTGGTGGCAGGCAGCGTCAGCGCCCAAATAACAAGATGCGCTGACAGTTGGATGGTAGGGGCTGAGATGAAGCTATGCTTACAGCTGTGGAGGAACGCCACACAAACACCCCCCCCCACCCCACACACACATATGCAGCAAGAAGCTGAAGACTTTGCCTGGAGACACAGAGGAATGAGACGCTCATAAAACATGCATGGTGTGAACTGCAGCTCCAGGTCCCAGCTGGGCACCCGTCCCAGTCCCGCTCCGAGCGTCAGCGGCTTCTGACTTTTATAGACTCCCCCCTAACAAACCCAGCTCTGTCACAGAGCGAGGAAATCAACAACGGCTGATATTTTCATTCTGGAAGCATAAAACAGCCTTTTTTTTCTGGGTTTGAGGACGAAGCCTGAGCTGCCAGTGTTTTTCACTTCTGTTTAAGCTGAGATTATATTCAAACCATCTTGGCTTCAGGAAGTAAAAAATATTACAACAGCAGGATACGATCAGTGGGGATAAATGGACCTGAATGTATCGCAGGACTTATTGCTGATCGTGGGGATGCTCTGACCCACTGACACACCGACGGCTGCAGCGGTTTGCTGGGGAGCATGCAGCCCTCTGCTTCCTCCCCCTCAGCCACCCCCCCACAGAGGACCAGCTGATAGGGGAAGGCTCCTATATCCACCAGAGGCTGTCCCACTCTGAGCACGCTCTGCAGAAAACCATCAGCAGGAATGTGCAGACAGTAGAAGGGAGATACCTGTTCTATGACGTTAATTAGAAGGAAAAAGGAGGAAACAGACGGTGACTTCTGCTGTGAGCGGGGGGGGGGGTTAACATTAGGCAATCAAAATGCTGATAATATTAAGTGTGTCTCAGCCCCCCCCTTCAGTGTCCAC